TGAAGTCACGTTACTCGATGAGTAGGAGAGCTAAGAAAATTACACTGGAGTTGGTTCAACTTCAAAATGAAAGCAACAGGCCTGATGTAATCTCCTTTGATCATCCAGTTCAAAGTGAGGCTATACCTAGTAACTATGGTGAGGTGTTTGACTCCAGAAAATTGAAAGAGGAAGAGGTCATGGCAGCTTTGAGAGATGACGGGGTCACTATGATTGGGATATGTGGAGTTGACTAAACTTCAAACTGAAGGAGAAGTAATCTCCTTTGATCGTCGAGTTCAAAGTGAGGCTATATATAGTAACAATGGTGAGGAGCTGCACTCCAGAAAATTGAAAGAGGAAGAGGTCATGGCAGCTGTGAGAGATGAAGGGGTCACTATGATTGGGATATGTGGTCTGGGTGGTGTTGGTAAAACAACACTCGCTGAGAAAATCAGACAAAAGGCGAAACAACAAGGGTTGTTCAAAGATGTTGTCATGGTAACTGTCAGTCAACAACCTGACTTGAAAAAACTTCAGGGTCAGATCTCAGAAGGACTTGGGCTGAAATTAGAAGGGGATAATTTGTTGATTCGTGGAGATCGGCTGCATACAAGGCTAATGCTTCAGAACAGCCACAACCTTATAATCTTGGATGATGTTTGGGAGGCTCTTGATGATCTAGACAAGCTTGGAATTCCCAGCGGTAACAGCCACAACCATCGGTGCAAAGTGATATTGACGACACGATTCCGAAATGTTTGTGTAGAAATGGAAGCTCAGACGATCATTGAAGTAGAAACATTATCTGAAGAGGAAGCATGGAGCCTTTTCAAAGAGAAAGTCGGTGATTTTGGCAACGATCCTTCTATGATTGACATAGCAAAAGAAGTTGCCAAAGAATTCAGGGGGCTGCCGCTTGCAATTATTATACTTGCAGGAGCACTAAAGAGTAAAACCAAGCCTTCGTGGGAGGATGCCCTTATACAATTACGTGATGCAGAACCAAAAAATATCCCTGGAGTGAGCAGTAAGGTGTATAAATCTCTGAGGCTAAGCTATGACCACTTGAGCGAGAATGAGGCAAAGTATCTCTTTTTGTTTTGTTCTTTGTTCGAGGAAGATAGTGATATTCGGACTGGAGAATTGCTTACATTTGGAATGGGGCTTGGCATCTTTTCGAGTATTAAAAATATACAAGGAGCAAGAAATAGGGTGTGTCTTCTATTAGAAATATTGAAAGATGGTTTCTTGTTATTCCAAGGTTCAGAAAAAAATCATGTGAAAATGCATGATGTGGTCCGTGATGTGGCTATAAGTATTGCGTCTGAAGGAGAGCATAACTTTATGGTAAGTCACGATGTTAACTCAGAAGAGCTCCCACGTAGAACTTGTTATGAGCATTTCAGTCACATGTCAATTATTGCAAATAAATTTGATGAGCTTCCTAGACCAATATTTTGCCCAAAACTGAAGCTTTTAATATTGAAACTCCGTTTTGAAGATCCATTCAAACTACAGGACGATTTTTTTGATGAAATGAGTAACCTCAATGTATTGAGTCTGAGGGGACACAGTTTTAGGGAGTCAATTCTGCGTTTTCCAGCATCCATTAGGAGGTTGTCAAGTCTGAGGACACTGTGTCTGAGTAATTTAAGGTTAGATGACATATCCTTTATTGGGGAACTTGTCGAATTAAAAATTCTCAGCATAAGAGATTGTGAGTTA